TCCTTCCTTCCATCTCTCCCCAGACCACCAAGCCAGAGCTTTGCTCTAAGGACCAGAAGATGGGGCTGGCTGGGCTGGACAAGGCACCAGCACCCCCTGCTCCCTGAGGGGCACAAACCCAGCCTGTTCACACCAGCAATGGCCTCTCTGGAGGGAAGAGCTCACGGGCATACAGTTTCGATGGGGCTAAGAGAAGAGTCTGACTGAACCACGCTTCCCCTGACCTGTGGTGAACACTATTTTTTGTTGTTGTGTTTGTTTTTTTTTAGAAGCAACACTCAACAGAGACAAGATACTATTGCTGTCGATGCAATGATACTGACAGCTAATCACTATGCTGTGCCTTTTATAATCCCTGAATTACACTAATCTGTAATTTGTCTCATAATTTGGGTGTGGAACAAGTTCACTATGAATATGGAGTGCAAAAGACGGACCAAAATATCTGACGCCAGTTGAAAAATAATATGCTCTTCATTATTTTAGGGGCACAGGACTCAACAATGTATTAAACCCCTAGTCAACAAATGTGAAAAAAAAAATAAAGCACAGAGTCAAGGAAAAGTGGGCTTTTCCCCATTTGTCAGAGGACATCTCCATTTCTGAGCTCATCTTTGCACAAACAGAAGATACTTCAACAGGTTGGCACCAGGGTTCACCCCCAGCATTGACATTAGCATTCAGGTTACCAGCCGGCGGAGCTAGCTCAGCTTACAAACTTTTGTACTATGTGCCTACAGCTTATTTTTTAGAAGAGGAGCAGGGATATGATTTCAGGAGTTTCAGTCTCAAATAGAGGATCCCAATTACTATATGTCTTTAATAACCAGATCAATGAGGTAGCAGTCAAAGCCAGCAGAGGGACCTGCTGCGATGTATTGATTTCTCATGGTGGTGATCCCTCCAGACCCTCAAGAAATAATAATCCACTCAAACTGAAGTCTGAGAAAAAGCAACTGGTCTACAGGCCCTAAGGATGTCTCAGTTTCATTTCCACTGTAAATAAACCTCAGGCAGCATGAATGCCGACAGACAAATACCAGTTGTCCTTAGAAATAATTCATAATATAGAATTCCACAGTCAAGCAATGTCAGATTGAAATAAATGTTATTATTTCTCTGAAAAAACTGACCATTGGTCAATAATTCCCCCCCCCCCAAATCAAACTTTTCCTCCCACAAGTACCCCCAAATGCAAACATTAAAGAAAAATGCACTTGACAAGTCATTTAGTTGACGGCAAAAACCCTATAATTAGTATAGCAATCAATTTGTAAAGGTTGCTGCAAAAAATTATGCTCATGAACAAAATGTTTCTCTTCAAATTGAAATTGGTGCCTGCTTAGCATAAAGAAACATAATTGACTGGGTAGCTTCACTTACGTCCACATTTTCAGAGGGTTGAAGGTTGGCCCCACTGGATTTCATTACAGATTCTACTGGGCATCAAGAAACAATACCTGCTTGTGCCAATCAAGCATTGAAATTATCAGCTTTCTTCTAGACATGTGGCGCTGCAGAGGAAAAACATTCACAGACTATCTGGCCAATAAGTACCTCGAAAGATAATACATTAGCAGCAGCTATTTACAAGCAGAGCTTTTGGAAAGAGAGATTAACCTCAGGACTAAGCAGGATTTCAGTCTCTCCAGCACAGGGTAAATGAACTCAGTCTTGAATGGGACACTCACAGTATAAAGATTCACTCAAGAGTGCCAAGATCCATACTTACATTAAGTAGTTGTTTGAAGGAGGTAACAGGAAGAACTAAACTCTGGCTCGATAGTTTATTGCAGAAATCTGGTATTCAGGTTACCAAAAGAAAAGGTGAAGGCTCTGTTTCCCTGCCTATGTGTCACTGTGGGAAGGGGTGTTAGGTGGCAGCTGCAATCTCTGCGTGTCCACAGCAGTTCTCTCAGCAGCTGCTCAACCAAGTTGAAGTATGACGTTGGCAGCTACTGTTCACTGCAGTTCTTCCTCTTGTTATTAAACACATCGCCACTGAGAGTATAAAATGGAGTAATATTTTTTAATAAAAATTAGATAAATTTAAATTATTGTACATGTCAAAATTACTAACCTCCAGAAATCAACTGATCATAATCTGGTCCTTGTTAGTTCCTCCCCCATCCTCGCCCCTTTCCTGGATATATTGTTCATTTGTCTGTTGTTCACTTGTTTTGTAGAATATTTTAAAACACATGGTTACAAGCCTCAGTTGCAAACAGGACTGATCTCATTTAGTCTCTAAAAATCTGCATCTAGTGTATTTCAGCATATATCTCATCAGCCATCGCTTTGTTTATTCATGACCTCTTACTCCATGACCACAGCATAATTCCAGAAACATTTAGATTCAGGGTCTTGGAGTGATTTTTCACACCACCGCCAACAAATGCAGGCTTGGTAGCAGGGTGACGGGCCAGTTGCGGATTTGGGAGGAGCACAAAGGTATCCTCGGTGTCATTGAGTCAGAGAGGTATTCGCTTGCTGAGCAAGCAAAACCACCAGGTGAGCACAAGCTGCCAGCTTTGGGAGCAACGCAACGAAAAGCACGGTAGCAAAGCTCCTCATCCTCCACACCCAGCCTGCGCAAATGCTGAGGGTGGCACGGGTGCTGCCAGCACTGGGGCAGGTGCTGCAGGGCCAATTTCGGGGCTGCTGATGCTCCTGGCTGGACAAGCTTGGGGTACCCAGTGGGCAAGCAGCAGAGAAAGAAGCTGCAGCCCCCATGGCTCTAGCCTGTAGTGGAGTGTGTGCCTGTATGTAAACACAGCGACTAGCAGGGCAGGCCTGGATGTGAAAGTACCTTTGGGCTTAGCAGACAGATAAACACGTCCTCAGGGACACTGTGGAAGTCCTGGAGGTGAGGCCCCACCTGGAAGCTCAGGGAAGGTTTCTGCAGCAAACAGTCTCCAAAACATCCCGTCGCCTTGCACTGGTACCCAAGTGCTCTCAGCCCACGGGGACGGGCATCTTTTGCGACATCACAAATTTCATATCACTTCCAATAGTTTGAAGATCTGTTAAAAATATTTATTTCCCAGGGTGTTAGCTTTCCAACCTCTATGCAAACTAACAATCAAATTCTGGGCAGTAAGAGCAAGCATTTGTTTTATTTTGTAAGAGGACTACTTGCTGCTAATTGAAAACAAGCATTTTCAAAAAGGCAGCTGTTTTGGTACTGTGAATAGACGAATCAGCATCACATTGAAGCGTTAATAACACGCTAATGAACCTTAATTTTCGGAGCCCCCTCCCTCACCCATTTCCACATTTCAGTAATTTCAAAACCATTGATATGCGCTGCCAGAGAGTTATTGAAGAATGCTCTCCGACATCTTTTAATAAAAACCAGAAAAATGGTAGCTTTTTTTTTTTTGTTATCAGACTATATTAAAAACCTTGTTACATGTATTTAACAATTTCTTTTTTTTTTTTCTTAAATAAATAGCAAAGTTTCACCAAAATGAAAGGAACGCCGGCACCATTGCGTTGATAGAAACTTCCATACTAGGACGAATACACAGTCATATTCTGGAGTATTGCATAAAAAGATACTTTGGAGGAAAGGTGGTGGTTGCTGGTGCATCTCAGGTGGTGAAAGCATCAACTCGTGAATGGTCTGTGCAGCGGTATTGCGACGTGGCACCTCTGCAGAATCTCACCAGCCCGAACCAGGTGGCTGCAGAGGTGACCTCGGTGAGACTGTGAGAGAACAACTCGTAGAACATCTAACGCGGGACATCGACTTACCACCTGCTATCGTGGGCAACGCAGCTGACAGCGTAACACGATGGGCTGACCATCTCACTCTCTAGGCAGAAGAACGCTAGCTTTAAACGAGGGAAATGAACAACGTTAAAAACCAACAGGACTGGCTAACACTCAGCAGGGCAAGGGCTTGGAGAGTTGAAGCTGCCAATTCCTTAGTCAAGAGGGAAGGAGGCAACTGTTCACTGTTACACTGCAGGCTACAGAAGCAGGCGTCATTTTCTGATGGGTTTCCCTGGGGCTGAGCTGGTGTTAAGTCTGATCAACGGCCTCTCTTCAAACCGGGACCAAGCTCAAGAAGGACAAGTGCTGAAGCAAGACCAGCAACGTGTGGGACACCAGGCAGATCCCCCATAGGTGACTGCTGCCCTTAACTCGCTCCACTGTGTGTGCCAGAGTGCAGCGAGCTAAGTCCCACCTCTCCACTTCTGTTGGCTTAAATCAGACCCTCGTTATTTTAAACAGAGTTTATTGTATTTAATACATTATAAAATTTGAAAAAATTGTAGGAAAGCAGCAGATTCAAACCAGAGCATCTCTACCAAATATTAATTATTCTGGCCCCCTTTGAAGAAACACAAAACAAAACAAAACGACAAAAAAACTCATTCAAAAGAAAAGTTAACCTTTCACATCTGTGAGGGCAGACAAAAAGTGTGCGACTTCTATACAAACTACATTTAAAATTTCAGTCGACTAGCTTTCCAATGCAATGGATGGTTGTCTCCTGAACATCTGCCCACCCACCTCTAAAAAAGACAGACATAAACCTCCATATGCAAATAAAGTTGAGTCAAGGGGTGCACACACTTAAAAGGTGGCAATGGAAAATGGGTGAAGAATAGCCTATGTATCCCCCAATGGTAATGGCTTGTACACCGTTAAGCGGGCCTGAGTAAGGCCTAGGACACTTAATGGCATGACAGCACCAACCTCATCTACCACTTTTTTGTTGTTGCATTTCCTACCCTTTGACATATACATACATATATATATGTACATACATACATATACATACATATTTTTAATATATATGTGTGTGTGTGTGTTTTCTTTTACACCTTGAGGTTATTATTATTATTATTACTACTATTCCAAATATTCCCATATGAATTCAGGTGTGGTCTCTATATTTGATATAAATGTGTCTTTTATTCAATTTTAGTTCCAGGACTTGTTTGGAATCCAAACTGCACATGAAACGTCCCCCTTTTTTTTTTTAAAACTTTTTTTTTTTTTTTTGCATAAAGAAACATGTCCATTTTAGTCCAGAGGCTCTTGCTTTATTCGAATGACGGAGGGTGCACGAGATGTCCTTCTGAGTTCTCGTCTCAGTACGTATTCACTGAATTGGGAAGAGTCCACCCCACCTCCACACGAGCCAACAATCTCAAATCCTCTTTGCTGTAACCTCTCAAGTACCTGCAAAAAAGAAGAAACAAACACCAATGTATAAGTAAATGGACTATTTGCTGTCCAAGGATGATAACTGCTGTTTTCAAATGGATCCAGCTAGGAAACAAAAGTGGTTACACAGATCTGTTAACTGGTTCCCTCAGCTTCATTGTATTGGACTGGTTTCTGCTGACTTTGGCCAAAGTAAGCAGAAAAATGAAAAAAAAATATACATTTTAATTTTTTTTAGTACTGTCAACAAATCCAGTGTTTTTCTAGCCACAGAAACATGCCTGGAAAAATGCATTCTCTGCTTCGCAAAATTGACAGTACAAAAGGGCAAATACAGAATTGCACAGAAAATACTGGAGGATGCTGAGCAAACACGTCAACTAAATGGTGACAAGGCAGATAGTGCAGTCAGAATTTCAGGAAAGTTAAAATCACATTTTCCAGACACTTAAAACCCAGCCATGGCTACAAAGGTTTGTGGCTACATTAACTTGTGGTAAAAAACTGTGACTTTTTAACTTTAATTATGAGACTACCAAGTTCTGCCTATTCACCTCCTTTCCTCCCTTGTCACAACTCCAGTGTTACTTTCAGTGGGAAACACAACGGCAAAAATAATAAAAAAAAAAAATCACAAGGAAAAAGAGTCAGGCAGGACTCCTGGAGCAGCAAGGGGATGTGCCCAGCACAACTCACCCAGTAAACGATGTGCAGGGACCTCAGCTCCCAGCACCAGCTCCAGGCTGCTAAGAACACAGTCTCTTCCCACACCAGTATTTGGTTCATGTGGTTCAGGTAGTGGAGGGGGGGGCTTTAGTGGCAGCTTCTGCGAGAAGCTGCTAGAAGCTTCCCCTATGTCCAAGAGAGCCAATGCCAGCTGGCTCCAAGGCAGCCTCTCCACTGTCAGTGCTGATGGGAAAGCCTCTGTGATAACATATTTAAGAAGCAAGGAAAAAAACCCAAACAAACTACGGCACTTGCACAGAGAGAGAGAGAGAGAGAGAGAGAGAGAGAGAGAGAGAGAGAGAGAGAGAGAGAGAGAGGAGCAAGAATATGTGAAGACACCAAGGTGAGTGAGGGAGGGGGGAGGATGTGCTCCAGGTATTGGAGCAGAGATTCCCCTGAGTCATGGTGGAAACCACGGTGAGGCAAAGCTGTACCCCTGCACCTCGCGGAGGTGTCCACCAATAGCCCGCGGAGGACCCCACGCCGGAGCAGGTGGATGTGTCTGAATGAGGCTGTTATGCCACCATGGGAAGCCCTCACTGGAGCAGGTATCGACAAATCTCAAAAAGGGGTAGCGGGGGAAAAGAGACCCTGAAGCAACCATCAAAACATCTCTGCAATTTTTGTTTACCCTGATCTTTAGATTTTAACAATATAAGCCAAAATCCCCCTAAAATTTCAGATAATGCTACACCAAATCATAGAACAGTTTGGTTTGGAAGGGACCTTTAAAGGTCATCTAGTCCAACCCACCCTGCAGTGAGCAGGGATATCTTTAACTAGATCAGGTTGCTCAGAGCCCCATCAAGCCTGACCTTGAATGTTCCCAAGGATGGAGTTTCTACCACTTCTCTGGATGATCTGTTCCAGTGTTTTCCCTACCCTCACTGTAAAAAATTTCTTCCTTATATCTAAATCTACCCTCTTTTAGTTTAAAACCATTACGCCATGTACTATCACAACAGGCCTCTGTTATGCCATAAAAAGTGAAGAAAAAATGCTGCAAGTGAAAGAGATGACAGAAATGGATAGGGCCCTATTTGAAATAAGCAGATGTGTCTTTGTTTTTATTACCACAGCAAGAAGGAAGACTGAACATTTTTTCTTCATTCAAAATCGAAAGTATACAGTGACGTATTCAAAGTATTGAGAGGTTTTCAACACTACTGTAGTTTGTTTGCAAAGAGGTTTGGTGCTAGTATGTGTGAATTAAGTTGACAAAGCAGCCTTGATCCATAGAAGTAAATATCTAGCTCAAAGCCTCCTCCTGATTTTGTTCACCAAAACGCTCCAGCGTCAGGGAAGAGGCTCAACCCACTCGTACCTCATCACCAGCCTCCCTCCCAAAAAACGTATACGTGACTCCTACCTGAACTGAGTTGAGGTGACAGTATCCATTCAGAGGAAATCGGATGACATGCGTCGAGTCGTGATTCCAGCCGGCGTTGACAGAATTACACATCACATCACCAATTTCTGGAAACACTTCTTCTATCAATGACTTATCGCCACTCAGTGTAATCCTCTCTCCAAGATCTGGGGCAACTCGCACCACCAGGCACTCACAGGACTTTGAGAAGCGGCCACTCTCCCGGTCCTGTTTCCACCTTTCCATCTCTCCTAGCATGGGCTGAAGCTGGAAATACTTTGCTTCTTCATATAACAAACTGTAGTCCTGAAAGACACATATATTACAGCGCACAATTAAGGAAGAGGCATTGCTAATGCACCGCTTAATGTATATGGTTATTCAGGCTAATGCTGCTCTAGATCTGGAACCCTTCAGACATAGTTCGTAATTACTGTGTAGGAAGGTGCAATAAAATAATAGTGGAAGCAAAAAATAACCATCAGCCACTTGAAACAGACTGGGTACAGCAGCACTCAGGAGGGGAGGGGGAGGCTATGCTTGCTCAACTCCCCCCTACTCTGGAATAAAATCCTGCTTTCCCCTGTATTTTATCCCCTTAGTGATGTCATAGACTAATGACCTCATTGAACAGATGGAGCAGAACTCAGTCAGGATTCAGAAAATTCATCACTAGGATCCATCGCGTCTTAGAGCAATACTAGCAGGCATTGTAACAGGTATAAGAATGGAAATGAGGGAGGCTGTGATGGTTCTAAGTGTAAAATGATTCAGATATTTGCATAATGAATTGCACATATTACTGCATTTTAAAAATTAAGTATTTTTTAATATCTCCCCATTTTGCCAACAGTATTGTTTACTACGTTGTCTCAAATGCCAGAGCAGAGTGAACGCGTTTCTAAGCATAGCCAGTATAGAAGTAATTTAGAACTGATGATGCCGAGTTTGACTACTGCCATTTTTTAAATTTAATAAAAAAACCCCAAAGAAATCTTGTTTTTCTAGGTTTAAGATCGTAAGACCATTTGTAAAATCTTTATACAGAGAAAAGCGATACATGAGAATTAGGGAAGACAGAGGAACAGAATGACAAGACTGCTCACAGTCAATATATCCCTGAAGTTGAGCTACACACAGAAAGCTTTATGAGAATGGGACACCTAAATCATGCTCAAAACACTGCTTACATTTAACACCTAATGAAAAAATTATCTACTCCATACATTTCTAAGAAACAAGGACTGCCATTCATTTTAAGCACTGATCTTTTGGACACCTTAAAGCGTTGACCTGGGAGGACGTATCTTTGAACACCTTGTTGGTTGGGTGAACTTGCCGGGAGTTACATTTTTAATTTCAGCACAGCTACAGTATATTTACACGTTTTAAAGGCTCTGCATACATAACTTCTTAACACTGCATGGAAGGTGGCTTTTCCTCTCTCTGTATATCTGATTACCTTCAGGACAAGTGCCGAGAGCAGCACAAAGCCAAGCTAAGGTTTCTGAACCGCTACGATACTTAGCGGTTAGCTCCAAACGCCCCCATTATTCAGGTAGATCTACCCTTGTCACGCACGGGAGAAGGAAGTCTGCGTCTACAGCAGATAATTCAAAGGTTGCTGCAACACGACTCTTGAGCTCAACCTCATGCCTATTATCCCCCAAACACCTGAAAATCTGTCTCACATACGAGGGATAAAAGGTTGCACACCAGTGTGAACTATCTAACCCTTCCCCATCACCTCTCCTGCTCAATCTGAATCGTTCTGTAGCCTATGGTGAACTAATGGCACAGCCAGCTACGCTGATATGCATTCATTAAGTAACGATAAAGATCTGTTCCGGCTGCAACCACCGTCTCCAGTGCTCATTTTGCTGACACCACACATACACCCACATACCTACACGTGGATAAACACAGAACATCATGGAGTCTGAAGCTTTAGCTCTGTAGGTTAATGTCTAATGTGGTGAACTACCACAAATTTAATGTGTTATTTAAAAAAAAAGCAAGCTCTTTATTAAAGTTGAAATAATAAATGCGGACTGACTTCTCTAAAACTCCCGAATTAAACTTGCAGTATGCATTCAAGAGTCTAGGGGAGAAAATATTCTATGATAATGCTCAAATATTACCATACGTGCAGTTTATTTTGTCAGTACTGTGATTCCCACACCATTCTCTGAATTTCAGCGTGGGAGTGGAAGCTGGAGCTGCTGTAATCAGAGGGGAAGCATAAAAGTGGATGAGAGGACAAGTAATCAGCAAATCATGAGCAGTCAGTTCCAGATTGTAACATCCTTTCTGTCTCAGTCAGTATCCTATGATATTTAATTTCCCTAGGTCAAACATGGCAAGGTTGCTCCATTAGGCTATAGCCAGGAGGGGAAAAATGAATATTTATCCCACTCTAGGAAAGGCTGACAGAGGCCACTTTAGCAGCCACACGCATACTTTTGTCACGTACCTGAAATCAAGCACAGTACTCTACAGGTCTACTCCCATCCCTCCCTCCTAAGGCTCTGCTTTGGCTACGTGCCACATACTTGCTTTACCAAGGTACATGCAAAACACTCAAACACCCTTGAAATCTCACCTTGAAATCATCAGGAATGAGGAGTTTTGATGTCCTTAAAAAATTCAAGATATATCTGAACATCTGCCCATCTCTGTCGATGAAATAATGCTGCTTGAGGCTGTCGAGGACAATGGGTTCCGTGCCATCGAAAAGCCGACCGATTCTGGAGAGGAAACAAAAGGCAAGTGGCAGGGTCAGACCAAGCTCGGCGCAAACAGCCCAATCCTGCAAAGTCCCTTCAAACTGACTTCACCGAAGCAGCTCTGCAGCTCCACTTTGTATGAATAGGGCTGGTTTCAAACCACAATTTAAGCTGCCTGTTTTCAAGCAAGGCCACAGAAACTTCAAAGTAGCACAGCTGGGAAGATGGAGAGGAAGCAGCCAGGGCAGGAGACTCTCACAGCAGCTTCACTGCCCAAATCCATGTCTTGTGAGTTGATATCCTCTTGATTATTTTGGTCACCTCTCTTGACAGGCCCCATCAGCACGCCTCATCCCCCCAAAAGCACCATCCCCCTTGACTGACTCTATTCTGCTTTCCAGGGTACCGCACGGTGAACCCGATTAATTTGGAAATTGCTCTTTGGAAAATTTGTTGTTGTTTGCTTGGGTTTTATTTGTTTTTAAACCCAGTTCATATTTTGGATGCCATTTACTGCAACCAGCACTTGGACAGGCACAGCTGAGGGGGCAGCACGTTGTGGGAGTAAGTAGCCATGAATACAAAGGTTGGCACATTTCAATATGAGATAATGATTTCACAGTAAAAATTAACTGTTTGTGGAAGCTACCATTTAGCACACACTGAAATAATCAAGAAAAATGCCTCAGTTTTTAGAGACCACCCACCAGAACCACACAACCACCTAGAGAGACTCCTTTTGCCAACAGCTCTTGTAACATTAGCTGCTGGGCACACACGTTTTCTAGATGTGCACCTCACAAACCAGCTTTAGTTAGAGCAGTAGGAAGGGCTGAAATCTCTGAACAAAACCCCAGCCAGAGTAACACAAAATATACATTATGTTTCTGCAACGAGGTGTTTGCAAAATGCTCCTGAGTCACTGGTGGTTTCCCAACAAAATCAGCGGGAGTGACTGGTAGGTTCAATTTTGTGCCCTTGTTTATGTGTCTGTATGTGCAACAGGGAAGTACTTTTTGATCCTTTCCAATGCCAGAACTGTAAACAAAATGGTCTTGAAAGAGCTTGGTTGTGATATATCACATGGACACTCCACGTGAAACGATTGGTTATGTTCTGCAATATTCTGCAGATACTGTGTTTTCATTATTTTAATTAAAAGGCTCATTTGTATGTAGTTTTTGCCTCAATATAACCCATCTGGTTTGGGAACCAGCACAATAAACTCTCTACAGGTTACTAAAGATCGTGCAGCAGTATCGCCAGATGTCACCAGGTGACCACCAGGCACTTTTGTTCCCTGATCACACTCAGTTTGTGGCACAGGTAAGAAAACAAGTCTTATCTATTCTTTCTCACCAGTTGGGAGAGATGAAGACCAGGAAAAAAACCAAAACCCCAGTAATCTCAGTTGGCCATTCACAATTCTGGTGGAAATACCTGAATCAATTCTAATCACATGAAATCTGTAACATATAAGGTATTAATATACCTTTGTAGAATGATCAGTTACAAAATATTTTGTAGAAAGGCATCCCATAGAACAATTCAAGTTTTCTTCCTCGGATACTTGTTCCTGCCTGCCCACTTGCGCAAAATTTAAGCTGTGGCAGGCCATATAATACAAGTTCACTATGTGGATAAGCAACATTTTTGTCTAATATGGATGCACTCAAAATTTAGAATTAATTTTCCCCTATACTTAAGCATGTCGTCTTGGAATCTATCATGGAATTCACATATATATTTGACCAAGTCAGTCATTACTGAAATTTATAATGGTAGTTTCTTCAGCATTTTCTTACTTCCATATTACAACTATAATTATATACCTTAAACCTCTAGGCTTTCTGTCTTTGTTTTATTAATTGTTTAGGAGAACAAGATAGTATCAGAGAATGGAGCCTTCTGAAAAAAGCATAACGTTGACAAGGGTACACGACTGTCAGGAGCGTTACATGAGACCTAAAAGGCTTTGTGTCTGCACTGGAAGAGTTAACAGAAAGCACTGCCTTAGTGCAAGGCTGCTTTGCAGAAGCAGAAAACCCCGAGGAATTACAAAGTCCCAATTCCCCTCCCAGGATCTCTTTGCAATACACAACTGCACTTTCACACGTTAAAACAGCTTTGGAAGTGTAGACCCCCAGCAGAGACTTCTGTAAACAAAATTAAAGCCTTTTTCCTTTTCAGATGGAAAAACGGAGATTCCAGCTTCCTACACATGACCTCCAGGGAAAGACTTTAGATAATAGGAGACCCAAATCTGGTGGCATAGTCCTTTTCCTAAGCTGCATTTGCTACACCCATCAGGAGAGGAGACTGGGGATGCCAGGATCGGGGGAAACCACCGACGCCTTCACGCTCCAGCCTCCCCCTCCCCATGCTCTTGGGTTCCTGGAAGCACAGTGGCAAGCTCTCCTCTGTGCCTCCTTGGCAGCTTTTCAGTACAGTGTGATTTGAGCAGCCATCCTCCCTGTCACCCACAGCTTTGCTGCTTGGTCTCGCACTGCAGTTAGAAATGCTTAGGAGACAGCCTGTTGGCACAAGAAGGGACTCATGTTAAGTCTAACTTCACTTCCCAAGAAAATTCAAAAGATGTTTTTCCCCATCTCCTTCTTGACAATGCTGGCCAATAACTGGCAAAGATAACTTACTTTCTTTTTTTTCTTTTTTTTTTTTTCTTTTGAATGAATTTCCAAACAGGGAAGTGCTTTGAAGGAGGCTTGCAAAATAAGCTGATAATTATATGCAGAATTAGTCAAATATCAAGGGTAAAGGATAAGAAACTGTAGTCCGTTTACAAGAAAACGTACCGCAGAAATATTTAATTAAAACTAAGAGGCTGGAATTTTCTGTATATTAGGAAAATTAATGTCCCATGGGTTGAAAGTGCGACCTCCAATGGGTAATAATTAATATCTATGGCTTTAAGTATCACATTCCACTGTCAGAAATTGAATGCTTCAAGGGCTAAAAATATAACCAGTGGAAAACTCAGCTTCAGAGAATTTGGTTTTACTTTAAGGACACAAAACAGGTACAGCGACAAGCCTCATTTCAGTGGTGAGAAAACAACTGGATATAGAAGAGATCAACGTTTTACTTCCATAAAATATATCAAGGATCTTCCTCCCCATAGATCAGCACTCCCATAGCAGCACTTCTAGACCAAAAAGCTAGCAAAGGAAGATGACACTGCTTATGGGATTTTTCAAATTCTTCAGAAACAAGTCCTATTTCTCAAGCATAAAAATATAATCCCTTTGCAGCAAAACTGTATACATAGTGCAAGTGTTTATAACCTTGCTCTCTCAGTGTATAAATATTTATATATACTACTATACACATAAAGAGAAAGACTTCCCTTTAGCATATACTGCCTCAGCTGAGACTTTGGGAAAGCAGCAATAATTAGGAACAAGATGGCCAATATTAATTAAACAAGTCAACTGTTGCACAGTTTTCTTAGCAGTAAGAAAAATGATACAGTTTTGCAGATTGTTTTAGTGGCTTCAGTGGAAAGAGCTAAAATTCTTCCCTTTTGTAATCAAAGGGATACAAGGAAGATGGGAGATGCAAACTTGGATGTCTGCAAGAGTGCCAAATACTGCACTACTTTCAATCTAAGGTAGAAATAAAGCCTTTTTTTTCCCCAAGAAAACACAGATTCCTTACTACTGAATATACTGAGTATACTATTTTTCATACTATTCCCATTATAAGAGGACACTATGAACTCAAAACCAACTGAAAACCTATTGCAATAAAATCTTTTCTAGAGTTCTAAGCTGATAGCTTTCCCTGCTCTATGCCAGAACAACAAAGGGAGTAAAACTCCGGTGTGAAGCCCTTTAAATAACCCAGCAGAGGGAACAGTGTAGAAAGAGGAGCATCTGCAATGCCCTGGTACCCCTAACCTTGTGCTGAAATGGGGAGGCAAGCAACTGCCTGAGATTCCTGCAGAAGTTGGATATACAGGGGCTGACAAGGAGCAAAATATTCATGAAAACACATCTCTCTTCCGCAAATAATGAATGACATGGCAAAGAAAAAGTATTTTAGCTGAAATCTTACTCACTTGGTTGGAGCTACTGTAGCAAAGTGAGTTGGGGTTTGGCCCCTAAAAGGATAAGTCATTGCAAGTTTTATTACCACGATGTTATATTTATGTGGCTAATGGAAATGCTTATTTAACACTCTGGGGTGTGCAGAGAGCAAGCTCGAATAGCCTTTTACTATTTTTTCTCTGCAACTTTTTAGTCCACATTGTCCTTATTAATCTCTTTTCATTTTCTTTTACTGAGTGCTCAAAGGCAATTTGCATAAGAGCCCATTATAAATTAGATCTGTTTAATGGTATGCTCAACTCATGGCTATTTAATTTCGTTTCCTTGTATGTCTAAATTATATAATTTTGCACTGTCCCCTAGAAGCTAGTATATTTGAAGAGGTATCCATGCCAGCAAGAAATGCTATCCTACCCAAGTGGAGAATGACACGGTTTGTGTTGTTTTATCAGAGGGCTACTTTCATAGTAACAACCTGCTCTTCTTTTTTGAATACCTCACATCATTTGGATCCACAGCAACTGAATACCTAGCAATCTTTATAACTCTGCATAACAAAAGTTGGCTCATAAACATGATATAACAGAATACATTTGCAATTTTCAGGAACATATATTATGAAAACCACATTTTAACCAAATACCCTGTTGCAATCAATCTCTTGCTCTCAGTACTATTATAATTTGTTCTTATCTCTTCCTCCTTACATTTAATTTAAGGTTTCATGTCCATGAGTCAAAGGAATTTCTTGGCACACACAGTCCTGACATTATCAGAAGAGGCATGAATACAATTATTATAAAGCAAAGGTAACAGGGGAAAAATGTATTAAAATCTAAAATCTCATTAAACATTCCATAGAAAAGGTATTTATACAGGAGACAAAATGACAAAGCAAGAAGGATGTACAGGAGCAGGTATTAAAACACTAGTTCTTATGAGATTTAAAAGAAAATGTT